ATTTGCCCTTGAGGCCACTTTGAATGTTTATATTTAAATATTATGAGTTTGTTTTTTATACATCGAGTAAAGTTGTGCTTTTGAGTTCATACTAATTATAAGTAAGTCTTCCGCTAAGAGTTAAATCAGGCCAAGGGTTTGCTTGGGGCTAGCAATGGTTCTCGAGTGCCAACCACGTTCAGGGTGTAGGCTCGGGGCGTGACACACGTGACATGATATCCTTATAACAAGGATATGTAGGTTGTCCAAAAAAAGGATTCGGTCACATATTTTTCCCTTTCAAATAAGAGTTTGGCCAGAACTTGTCATGTTGACTACATCTTTTTCTGCAATTTCTTTATATTTCCAATCAAAGAGGGGCAAACTGTAGATATTTTGATCAAATCTAAGATTTCACACCATTTGAAATGCTTAAATATTTGTTATAAATCTAAACTTACTATTTTTTTTTTAATCTTATTTTATCAAGTTTATTTTGAAATATTTAAATACTACAAAAACAGAGTCATGTTATAGGCTAAGTTTTATTTTTCAATTTCTTCACAAAAAAAAACGAAGAAAATTTACAAAAAACATATATGTTTTTTTAATTTAGATTTAATAAATAAGCTACTTTTTCTTAATTATATTTTTCGATTATCTATTTAAATTTTCTTATATTTAGTTCAAAATACTACCTCCGTCCACTATTCATTGTCATACTTTCCATTTTTAGAGTCAAACTATAAAAACTTAGACTAACACTTTACGATATATTTTTTCATCATATTGATATGCAAAAAATTGCAATGTATAGAACTTTTTCGTATAGTTTATGAATATCTAATTTTTTTGTTTAAAACATCGAATTAATGTAATCTAATTTAACTTTGAAAATTAGTCAAATTGACTTTCAAAAAACGCAACATGACAAATAAAAGTGGACGGAGGGAGCAATTAGATAATATTTATTATTATAATTTTATGTATGTATATATATACCTCAATATCTACCTTTTTACAGATGTTGCATGTGTTGCTTGTTGATGGTAGTATATTGTGAATCTTCTCTTTTGGTAGTGCGCGTGAGTTTTGTAGTTGTTCTTGTGTGTGTGTGATTTCATTCTTTGTTGCGTGTGTGGATCTTGTGTGTTGATTGTTTTTGGTGTAGTAGTAAGAAGTAAATAAAAATGTTTGGATGTTGTTTTTCTTTTTCTATACGTGAGTGTATGTTGCTATTTGTATATGGATCATGTGATTGTATGTTGCAGGTTAATGGGTGGGTGAGTGGAGCAGAATGTGGGTGTGGGTGAGAGGTTTAAGGGAGTGGAGAATGTGTATAGGGGGGTTTTGTAGTAGTTAGGATAAATAGGGAGTATGCAAAATTTAAAGCTAATTATTTTGAATAAGGAGGTCTTGATAATATTATTTCGAAATAACAAAAGATTGATAAATTTTGATTGAACGATTGTAGTTCAGCACCACTTGATTCAAGCTTAAAAATTGACGAAATAATTTTTTAAGGCAAATTTAGATATGTTAAAAAATGGTTTCAATTAAGAATGTGGTTACACATCTTTTTTGAAACACTTAAAAGAAATTCAATGATGCGGTGACGCACTCGAGATAAGAAAGCAGTTATGCTTTAATAATTAATTTTTATTAATTTAAATCAACACAAATAGATAGAGATTATTAGGTGCGATGCACTCGAGATAAGTTATGTTTCTAAGCTATTTTATCTCAAAATCGAGAATGCAGATATACATCTAGTTTGAGACTAATAAAATTCAACAATAAAAAATACAAGCAAACTTGCAGCGGTTTTCGTAAACCTCCACGACGTCCTCCGCAAAATGACTTTTAAATTTGTGAAGGTTTTCTAGTATCAGGTTTTTGATAGTTTAGAACCTTCACAATATGATCTCAATATTTTAAAAATTAAATTTGTGTGGATTTAAAACTGTCATGGCATGAAATTAAAATTTCCATTTATAATTTGACTTGTGGAGTCTTACAAAATTATTATTATTATTATTATTTTAATAATAAATATGAAATTTTATTTACATCAAGCCTTCAAAATAATAACTCATTTTAAATTTGATTTACATCAATTCTTCAGAATAATAAGTAATTTTACTAAATAACACATTTAAAGCAAATTAAATTTCATTAAGCAAATTTATATTAATAAGCTTCACAAATCCAAATTTATGTCAAATAAAAGTAATACAAACTTGTGTATAATAATTTCAACATAACAATGTTAAATTTTTTTAAAATCCACATCAAATAAACATAACAAAAATTCTATAGCATTTGTTTGGTGATTTATATTGTTGTCGTCCAATCTTTTTATTCAAAGTCACATAAGCTCTCTGCATCAGGCCTGAAACAATGAAAATATTATATATAATTAGATAAACATATATTGATACACATATATCTTCGTACATCTTGATAAAAAAAAAATTAAAATTCAATTCATTTCAAAAGCAAATCATATAAAGCTTTGATTTTACAAATAATTAACTATAAGATTATGGATGAAAGAAATTTACTTTGATGTTCTCTCATACCCACTAATAAAGTGAATAATAACAACTTCATGATTATTTCTACATAAGTTTACTAGGTTTATATTTTCCAAAATCATATAATGATGCTTATTCTATTTAACACGTTGGTTCGAGTATTTCTCACTTTTCTTGATTTAAAAGTTAGACTTTCCTCTTTAACCTTAGTTTTTTTCTTTCATTTACCAAAAAGTAATCATAACTTCAATAATTTATCGTATTGAATAAGAAAATACATAATTTAAAGTTATATTGATATCGATCACAATCTAATATGAAAAATTATCCTTTAATTTGTAATAATCGATCAAATCAAGAATAAAATAATCATTACATGATTCTTAACTAAAAAAATTAATTTACCATAAATCAATCAATGATTGGGTATAGACGACTTTACGATGTAGTGAGAATTCAAACAAAACTTGAAATATAGTAAAAAAAAAAAACATTAGATTCATTAAGTTTAACAACTTGCAAAATATAAAATGATCAAATAATAATATGAATTTTAAATTCTAGTATGAATCATCAAACTCACGTGACACAAAATTACCTTTGTATTCAAATAATTAATTATTTTTCATCTATTCCACTTTGCAAAGCCTACAATGAAAAAAATAATTAGCAAAACCACATATTAAAAAATGAAGTAAAGAGGAGTGCAAGACAAAGGAGAGAGGAGAGGGGAGGGTGTGTGTTTTACATGGGAATGGATTAAGGGGAAAAAGAAATGGGTTAAGGAGAAAGAAAAAAAGGGATTTGTGTGGGAGGGTGTGTGTTTACGTGGGATTTAGGAATGGGTGGGAGGGGGTGGTTATTTGATTAGGTTTGAAAGGTTTTAGGGGGAATTATGGCCTTTAGCCTTTTTTGTAAATAAAAAAAAATTTGGAGGGAAAGGTATTAAAATCTTGGTTGAGTTGGGTCTAAATGAAAGATAAAAGAATTGTGTGCATAAAACAAGCTTTTATTTTTAATTTTTATTGATAGTAATAATTGTTAATTAAAATGTTTCACCTTCAACTAGTATTATAAAAGCTTAACTAAAGTTAAAATACAAATACAAATAAATATAAATAAATATTACTATTGATTTAGCATCCGAGTTTTGTTATATATATATATTCTTAGCTTTAAAAGTTATAAAATTAAAAAATTTGTGTTATGAGACAACAAAAATCACTAAACAATACAAAGTAAAGTATTACTATATAAGATAAAATTTCTAAGTGAAATTGCATATACTAAGTAAAAAAAAATCGAAGAGTATCTTAATATATAAAAGAAATAGAGGATAAAAAAATCAGTTAAAATGAAGAAGGAGAAGGATGTGTCGTGTGTGTATATATATATAATAAAATTAACTTTCAATGTTAAATGTTATATATTATATAATTAATAATATATATATATATATATATATATTATAAATTAATTTCTAAAAGTAACTAATCTACTAATTTTTTGGGGGGTCGATAATCCCGATAATCAATATTAAATTGTGACGATTTTCTAACCTCCTTAATAAAATCACCATAAAAAGATTTATATTGTGGGGGTTAGAATAAAACGCCACAAAATGAATTATTAGTGGGATTTTTAAAAACTCCCACAAGTTAACCGCCAAAAATTGAGCATTTTTTGGTAGTTATACCTTCCCCTTGGTCAACAGAATTTTTACCCGGTCTTTTGTTTTTGCAGACCTAATGAAAAGTCGTTTCCTTCTGATTAGGAATTTAAAAAGGTGATTACTTGAAACATCCTAACTCAATTTCAAGTGGCGATTAAAAGTTAAGATCAAGATAAAGTTCAAGTTCATCGAAGATTCAAGAACAAGCTTCAAAGCCCTTAGGTTGAATCCAAGATCAAGTTCATCAAAGTTCAAATCCATATGAAGTTCATCTAGTCCACAAATCCAGATCAAGACTACAAGTTTAAGAATCAAGCTTGAAGCCGTTAAATTCAAGTATAGGTTGAAATCAAGATAAAGTTCAAGTTAAAGTTCATCAAAGATTCAAGAACAAGTTTCAAAGCCCTTGAATCCAAGTTCAAGTTCAAAACCAAATTCAAGATCAAGCTCACGAGCCCTTGAACTATTTTCGAAAAGACAAATAAGAGGAATAATAAACATTGTAACACTCGCATTTTGAAATCAATAAGACAATTTTGTTGCGTTATTTTTCAGTCTTGATAATTTTTTTCGGATTCAAATTTTACTGTCTACACATGTACAAATAATATAATTTTCTATTGAGCCTTACTAGTAGGTAAAAAGTTGTTTCCGATCAATAGACCCTGGTTCGGAAAAAAAAAATTGCTTCAACATGTATCAATTAAAAACATAAACTAATATGAAGGACTTCTAAAGTGCAAGTCATCTTATTAATTATTATTATTATTATTATATTATAGTGAGATAACATAATTACAAGCATGTGTCCATAGCTAGGGGGACGTCGGATCGGATGCCATACTTATATATATTTCAGTTAAGTATTAATATTAATTCTAACCCATGATTGGCCTACCTAACTAGTAGTAGAGCCTAGAGGAAGAAGAAATTAAACAAACAGCTAGGATAGTAGAATACTTGTAAATAAATAAATAAAAATAATTAATCACATTATTAATCTACGAATAATTGCAGCTTCTGGACTCTCTGTATCTATTGTGGATAGTAACTGAGAAAGTCGATCACTAAGGTCATTCACTTCTCTGTTCAAGCTTCGAATGTAGTTACATGTTTCTTGAAGCACCTTTGTTGCTGATGCCTGCAATGTGAAAGCAAATTAGTATAACTTATATACATAATATAAATGTGCTTTCTAATTTGAATTGAGCTAGTAGTTATGTTTCAATTTTTCTATATATATGCAAGTAGACATTTAAATTTATATAAAATTGAACAAATAGATTTATGCGTCTTATGTGGTATGCAATGTGTATTATGTCAAATATGATATATGTGTATACTTGTTCAACTTTATACAAATTTAAATTTCTACTTGTAAATATCCAAAATTAAAAGGAAAAATTGTCGGCAAAAGATAAATTAAATAACACGTTTATGTATCATGAAAATTATGAAGATAGATAACTAATTTTATTTTTAAAGTTAATCATAATTTCATTTTATTGTGAGCCGTTACCATCACTTTTAAGTGATTTGATAGTGTTAAATTTGTTAAAGCATCATTGTATAGAATATTGGCTTGAGTTAATTTGCACAATAATGCGTTGCAAATCTATGAAAAGGCCAAGTCAAAACGTACAATATTATTGGGTGTTGGGACCCAAAAGCATGGTCCTAGAGTGACGAACAATTTATAAAAATCATATGTTGCCAAAACTTGTGCTGTTTCCAAGAAAAAATACATCAACAAAGAGAGAGTCTAGTCTATTTTCTTTTAAAAGTATTAGTACATCAACTTTTTGTTTTCCAATTTTTGTCTAGTCATATTAGGATGTTCACACCTCATCTTTTCAGTACAAACACTACATTAAAAATATTTTTAGCGACAATTAATTAACGGTAATAGCTTAATTGTTATTAAATATATATTTTTTGCGGTAATTAGTACTCCTTATATATGTCCTTAAAGCCTTTAGTGACATTAGATTTAATGACATTTAACTAATGCCGATAAAAACTTTAATATTCTTATTAATGTGTCTATTTATTGCCGCTAAAAATTAATTTTGTCATAGTGAAAAAGAGACTCGTTAGATCCAACAATATACCAGAAAAATTTGTGTTACTTCAACGCTTAGATTTGTGCGTAAACAAGGGTTCTAAGTTGTAACTAATGAAATATTGATAATGAAAAGCTCATAAAAAGTTGCTAATTATTTTCACTTGTCCACTTTAGTGTACTAGTATATATTTCCGCGCGTTGTGCGGATAAATTAATTTCATAAAATATCAAATCGTTCAAATATTTATAAGTCTTTGTCCTTTTAATAATTTATTTTATGGAAAAAAATATTAATTAATTACTTATTTAAGCTAAGAGCAATTGGAGATAGTATAAACTACTTATTGGTATAAATTAACAAACTATATTTACATACTTTATTTATTTATAACTTTCTTTTCAACTTATAATCTAAAATTTTAATTAATTTTTAAAATTTAAAAACTTCTGTAAAATATATGCATTTATTTGTTATTTTATCCTTGTTTTATATTTCTTTTAAAAATAATATTATGAATTCATGAATGGTTCTAACTTAATTCTAACTTAATTTTTTATTATGTATTTAATAATTTATAAGTTCATTTTTTTGTGCTGATATGTGACCGTTGACAGTTTTTTTATCTAAACTATATATTTAAATTGAGAGAAATATATTGAATAAATAAGATCAATTCAAATACTTTATATATATATATAAAAGAAAAATTCTAAATGCCTAAATGATGGACATCGTGTCTTGTCGATGATAATCTTGTGAATCTGTAAGTAATGTCTTGAAATGCATAATCTCATTATAATTTATTTTTTTGTATATGTAATTCATAGAATTGTGTATATATATGTATCGTGCTAGTGCCAATAAATAAAATTATTTGGTGTTGAGTTTGCAAATATATCAATCTAACATATATGATTTTCGATCCTCTATATTGATTTCTCAATTCCATCACATGTTTTCCCCCTTAAAATCTTTCAATACATAAGAGGAAGTACTCAAAGACGTAAACAATTCAATACTTATTATAGTAACTTTGAAAAAGAACACTAATTTAATTCATCCAAATTATAGATAAATCGATGGTAGCAACTTTTAACAAAGAAAGATCAGAAACTACATTTACTTATAATAAAATAAAATTGCATCTCATATTCTTTGGTATTTAATATAAAAAGTAGTGAATAAAAATATGCAATTTTTCTCTTTGCATCATGTAGTTTACTCTATGTCAATCTCTTTTGTTGTTCATTGTCAAATTTCCAAGTAATAGGATTGAATTAATGAAGAAAAAGAAAAAGCTCACCTATATATTTGAGATAAACTTCATATAAATTTTCTCATTAAATTGAGTTTATATGAAATAATCGAAAGAACTGAAAAAATTTTGGATAAAAATTGAAGCAAAAAAAAAAAACTTGAAAATAAGACTTGCAGAGGAATTGTTATTTTTACATCTCACGTTTTAGAAGAAGTTGGTGGAGTAGTCTATTAATAGGATAATGGTGGTTTAAGAATTTTATTAGTTAAAAATTTAAAAAAATTTAATTCAATTTTTAAACTGATTGTGGTTAATGCAGTAAGAAGTTATTTATCATGAGAAGTTAATAAACCGTTTTGAAATTCAAAAAACATTAATCAAATAAGGATTCGGATCAATTCAAATTTAAAAATTAAAAAGAATATAATTTTTTTAATATATTTTTAATATTTTCGTAAATTTTTGGTAGGGAAAGGACGCGTATATGTATATTTTGAAACCGTGGAATTTTATTTATATTATTTTGTGTGTCTGTCATTTGGAACATTTGTGAAAAATAATAATAATAATAATAATATTATTATTTATTATTATTATTATTATTTTATTGTTATTATCATAAGGAAAAGTAGAGCTGTCAATATAGGCTAGCCCACCCCATCCGGACTAACCCATACAGACTTTGACATTTTACAAGCCAGGCCAAGCTATCCCATTTTTGGTGTGGGCCAGAAAACGGTCGGCCCAACCCACAAAGTACGTGGGCTACAGGCTTGCCGGGCCAGCCCACTTTTTAAAAAGTTATATATTTTTTTATAATTATTAAATTAAATTATAAATTATAATTTAAAAATATTATCATAAATATTGACAAAATAATATTATATGGTGTTAATGTTACTACTTGTTAATCAAATCCACAAATAAAATTATCCTTATAATATTTATTAAGTTTTTTTCAAATAAAGTATAAATATCTAAATAGAAATATTAACCTAACTGTTTTGCAATGATCACAATAAAACACAAAAAATATGACAATATTCCAACCATAAAAATGTAAAAAATAAACTCCTCAAAAAATCATGAGCCTTATGGCGTATCTAACACTTCATGAAACATATGGCGTATCTAACACTTCATGATCATCTTCATCAAGCATATCTGAATCAACTTGTGGGAAGGTTGTCTTAACATCTTCATTTTCATATGCAATTTATATGCGGTTTCAATTAGTTAAATATTAAAAAATAACTAAATTGAGAATTATAATATTTAAATGTACACAAAAATATATTACAAGTTTGAGAAAAACCATGTAACCAGTTTCGAGTAGCAACAAGTGTTTGGACATTTTCATGGTGGATGCAACTTCTATACTTAGTGATTTCCTAAAAAACTTTAAATAGATTTTGAGTTTGGATCTCTTTAATTTTAAATTTTAATATTATATTATATTTTTTAATTAATTTGTATTAGCCCACGGGCCGGCCCTACCTATATTTCTCAAGCCCCACAAATCAGCAGGCTTATTCAGGTCGGGCTAAAAAGCTTTTTTTTTAAATGGGCTCCAAATTTTTTAGCCCAACCCTATTAAATCCCGGGTTAGGCCAGACCGGCCCAACAGGCCTAGCCCATATTGACGGCTCTAAGGAAAAGTATGTTTGTAATTGTTATTTTTATTTTTCAGCTTTTACATTAATTTTAAAATTTTGAAATCATTCCTTAAAATTCTCTACCGATTGAAATTGTTCCTTAAAATTCTGCACGGACTAAGGTGGTGCATTTTTTTTATAAAAAAATAATTAATAATCACCCTCACTTTTTGCAATCTTTATTTCTATTTATAAATAAATAGTGATTGAAAAAACTCTTTTACGGATTTTAAGATAAAAGTTATCCTGAATTTTCGGCTATCATATATTACTATTTTTATCCAATAAATATTTTAATAATAATTTCTTTGTGTAGATTTATTTGTTTAGATGTTGTGGAAAGATTATTATTATTATTATTATTACTATTATTATTATTATTATTACTATTATTATTATTATTACTATTATTATTATTATTATTATTACTATTATTATTATTAAATAGAAAATTCTTGTTAATCAATTCTTAATTATATATATTTAATTATTTAAAAAAAAACTCAAAATTCAAACTAATAATGATTTAGTTGGTTACTAATAATGAGTCGTCCTTATCAAACTTTTTCAGTTTTCTTTTTTAAATATTTTAAATTCAAATTAATAAAACATTAACGAATTTTAATTTTAGGAAAAAGAAAAGAACACAGAATGATTTAGTTGGTTACTTCTTTTTATTTATTTTTTTGGTTAATTTTAAATACAAATTTTAAACAAATTGAAATTATTTTTTGAATTTTAAAATTGTGAATTTTTTTTGTGCTGACACGTGTCACTTTTTTCTTCTCCTATTTGTTATATATAAATAGATGAGGAGAAAAACAACGTTTTCCTAGTTATATTACTTTTACTATCAACTTTTAGTATGACATTTTAATATTTATAACTATTCGTTCAAAATCATTTCTTAAGTTTATGAAAAACTATACATCAATTAATTGATATGAGTGTCATAGTTAAATATATATGCACTTATTTTATTATTCGTTATGGAGTGTCTAAAATATATTGTGGATTAGTAAATGTGAACCAATTGTACCAAGTAGTAGTATATACAGTTAAATACATACTTTTTGGCAACACTTTAACTTCAACTTTTTATGTGACATGTTTAAGACCACAAGATTAAGAATATTTTGGTACATTTTGACATAACTTTAATTTAGAACTATAAGATTAAAAAATCATCTTTCTTTTCTTAAACTCCATTCCAAATCAAATTAGGTCATTCCTTTTAAAACGGAGAAAATATATGATATGATACTGAACTTTATGCAAGTACCAAAATTATTCTAAACACTGCATTACTTTACTGAAATTTATGCAAGTATACATAGGAGTACTCCATTACCTTATATGTACAACCGAAAGTGCCACTAATGTAACAAAAAATAACCCCACACAGACAAAGAGGTACAGCTGCTATTCTAACTTGTTCTCATTTTCCATTTTGACATTTTAACTCAATCATGTTTCATTTAAATTCTTCAACTCGATTTTCTCTATATAATGTAAATACAAATTAGTAGTAATTTTTATTGTTTCATTATTTTTATTTACGCTCTTTAATTGTCGTTTTGCACTTTAAAAATAGTTGTCCATCCATTCAATTTTCTTTTAAATAATAATTTCTTTTCAATAATTTTTGCACCAAATTTAAGGAACGAAAGTTAGTTGGTTTTCTTTTTAAAAATACATTAACAAGTAGTGTTATTAGCAACAAATCAAAGTCTTTTTTACCTATGCTAAAAGTGGTTTCTTTTTACCCATATTGAATCCGAGTTAAAATTTAGGAAGCGAATATTTGAGCTAAACTCGGAAGGTGGAATTATTTCAACACGCATTAAATAATTTATATCAGGTAATTAATATTGTTTTTACTACTTATTTAATAAGTGGTACATGAAAAACAGAATTTGAAGGTTAAAATGAAGGTGAAGATGGAGTAGTAAATGTAAAATTCGAAGCATGCAAGAAATAGATAGAAAGAAAAAAAGAAATGTTATGTATTTTTGAGGTGAAATGAAGAGAACCTTGTTGGAGCGACGAGTTTGAATCTCAGGAAGAAATTGGTGCAACTTGGAAACAAGTTCGATAATTTGATCATCTGAAATCCTAGAAGAACCTGGTGATGATGGTGATGACGACTGTCTAGACCTTCTGCTCGACATGTTTAGAATTATAAATGTCTTCTTCTTGTTTTGTTTGGAACTAACAAATTGAGATACGTAGTGGGAACTTAAAAGGGAAGAAGAAATTATAAGAATTGTAAAAGAAGAAGTTATGGTATTAAGAAAATGACTAGGAGAAAAAGTGATTAACGAACGAGCTTTAAAGGAGGTCATGGACCACAAGCATTATTTTAAAAAACAAACACAACAAGAGTAAAAATAAATTACTATACTCCTTATGTCCCTAATTACTTGTCCACTTTTCCTTTTTTAGTTGTCCCTAATTACTTGATAAATCAAGAAAGAGCAATTTTTTAACCTATTATACTCTCAATTAATTACTTTGAAAAAGGTAGAAATTTTTGAAAATCTTAAGTTTTTAATTCATGCACTTCATAATTAATAGGGGTCAAATGGTAAAGTCATGTCAATTATTGTTTTCTTAATAGGTGTACCAATTTAAAATTAGACAAGTAATTAGGAAAAGAGGGAGTAGAAAGTGATGTTGGATGTGAAGAGGACAAGTGCATTGGAGAAAGTAGCCTTAGACACCTTCTTGTTCAGTAATAATAAGTTTAGTAAACTCCCCGTTTCCTTCTACTTCTACTTCTACTTCTACTTCTACTGTATTCTACAATTTTTTAAGACCATGGGATCATACATGTTATTTCAAATGGGTTAGCCTATAATTTTTGGGTAAATTACATAAATACACATATATTCATATCATATGTACTAGGAAGAATTACATGGAAAACATGTTATATGAACACCGTTATAGTTTGAAAGAAATAAAAATTCGTAGCTATAGTTAGAAGAAAATTTCTCTCTTCTCTCCATCTTGCTCTACACTCTCGTTTGCCTCTCCTCTCTCTCCGTCATCTCTCCCTCACCTCACACCTCTTTCTACCCTCTCTCTCGCCTCATCCTTTCTCTCTCAATACAAATATAAATGATAACAACCAATGATACAAACACAAATATTAACAATCAATTATACAAGCACAAATGATAAGCGTCAACTATACAAATACAAATGGTAAGTGTAAACTATACATATCTTTTTCAGTGATATAAAATAAAGATATACATGGCAACAAAGAGATACAAAAACACATAAGAAAAATACTAATATAAATACAACCATACATGGTAACAGATATATACAAATACAAATACAAATTACTACATCTAATTAATGCTCTTTTCAGTGACACAAATACAAACACACAAGCAAAAAATTATAAATGCAAATACACATGAATATAGATACATACAAATACACATGGAAACAGATACATACAAATACACATGAATACAAATGTAATTTGTTACGAAATACAATATTAATTAATTGTATTCATTGATACAAATTATATTTCGTTAATACATTTGAACTTAAGACAACATTGATACAATTGTATTAATTAGTTGATACAATTATATTTCATTGATGCAAATTGTATTCTGATATATTTATATTCGTTAATACTATTATATTTGTTGATACATATGCATGTGAGTTTCATAAATACAATTATTCAGCAGATATACAAATACATTTCACCTCACTCATCTCCCTACCCTATCTCTCACTCGTCTCTCTCATCCTTCTCCCAATATCACTCGTCTCTCTCCCTTCTACCATGTAGCTACGAATCATAATTGAGGAGATTTCCGTGAACGTCATGGCTAGTTGAATGACCTATCGTTATTTTGGTGGAGATTTCACTGGAGGATGTTGTCTCTTATTGGAAAGGAGAGAGACGAAGGGTAGAGGAGGAGAGTCGGTGGTAAACATACGTATCTAATAAAATATAAACATATATCTGATTAAGAGTTCATGTATCCAAGTGGAGACTATATGTATCTATAGAAAACTATTTTATATGCTCGAAAAAATTGAACGAAATTTGAAAGTTTTAAATTTTTATTATTGTATTTAGAGTAATTTTTCATCTATTTATCAATTATACACATGTACCTTAGTAAGATTTTATGAATAGGACTTCAATTATATATCTGAGTTATTCCGCAAAATTTGATGTATCTGAACATATTAATATATCTTTTTATGTTCATTATATATGTGCTAGGTCTTCATGTACCTATTAGGTATATACATATATCTGAGGAAAACTTTATAAACAAGGTAGACATTAGCTTTTGATCTGTTTCCGAGTTGTATCCATCAAGAATACATGTATTTGTCATTGGATACCATGTACATGATTCTTTGTATTTAGACAAGTATGTGAATGAGTTTTGGCTTATAAATGTACATTATCTGAGTAAGATACATGTATTTTTTCACTTTCATAAACAATTTCATGCACATCTCCTTTCGAATCTTCATTAGAGTTGAACTTCCTTTCAATGTGTATCTTATCTATATACTTTTTTTTTATATTTATCGATTTGTAGTTGTGTTGAAATGGATTCGATGAGATGGTTGTTGTTTGATAAAGCTCAAACTATTCTCAAAAATATTAAGAGAATAAGTGGTCGTCGTCAATAAAAATACTCAACTAAGAGGCAGGGTCAAATCTCACAGAGAGTGATATATTGCAAGAAATTCTATCAATAAATTCAGAATGTAAATTAGTTCATTTGGAGCATTTAAGAACAACGGGTGAATGATTCCACCAAATTCACAAAAAGGTTTTGGTATCAAGAGTAGCAATTAAACTAAAACTTCAGAAGTCTACCAATTAAGAAACTATCTAGGGGTGCAGGGATTGAAATCGATGTCACATAGGGGTAATTATATCGCTCAATAGTACTAAAAACTAATGGATAGGCTAGGTCATCTTCAATGATACTAATATTCTTTCGATCTCATTGTACCAATACATAGAAACTTTTTTCGGTCTCATCTATGTGAATTACAAATCAACCAACTACCTTACGAAATATCTTTTTTCGATGTGGGACGTCCGACCCATAACTTCTCTTTCAAGCAATTCATGAACATCAAATCTAAATTGAATGCATTAGACTAATTACCCACTTCAATTATTCTCTTTTGATTATCAACCAAAGATCTAAACTAGGATTAAGTTTAAAATATTAACCCGTGAGTTAACCACATGCTAATTAGGCCGAATCCATGTATGAAGAACAATAAAATAGAGAAAAAGACAATACCCACTACATTATATCAACACCCAACCCCATAATTGTACCCCTAAACTTTAGGGTTTTAGCCATCCATCTCAAAAAGTAAAGAGATGATACCCATCACGAAGGCAACCATGAATGTGATGAAATTAAATAGTTATAATCAACACTCACTTCAATTTCAACTTTAATTTGTCATATCTAAGAGAAAAAGTTAAAACCCCAAAGTTAAGAGTGTTTCTCTCAAGAACATAGAAAGTAAGGAACTCAAACTCTTTTCTCAAGACGATTCTACAAAAAGGCTCTCTCCAAAAGTCCTCCAAAAAGTCTTCATTTTTGGCTATTTATAGTTATCTAAAATTAGACCTCGACATCACCGCGTGACCACTTCAGCAGTGTTAGTTCATCTCGCCAAGCTGATTCGGCAGATCGCCATTTGCTCCTTAGATCGCCTTTATCTTGCTTTAGGCTTTAGATGTTTGAACCGCAGTCGACGAGCTCGTTTAAGTCTACCTTTCATATTCAGAAAAACTCCGAATACCACCTTTGTTTTTCCTTTAAGCCTTCATTTTTCCTCCAAGTCCTATCACCTTCAGTGATGGTCAGCATGTTCACCCTTTGCATTTGGCGAGTCCCTGTTTCTCTTTAAGTTCGTTGACCTGCATCAATTAATTCAACTTTTGAGCACTTTCACTTTAGGCGAGGTGGTACTAGTTACATGATCTGCCCTTCTTGTTAGGTAATCAACAGTGTGGAGTTTATACTTCTTTCCATGTTTTTTTAATCCTTTTTTCAAGTATTCTTCATTGCCTTGTCCTTTAGCCTCTATAGATGCAAATCATCAAATATCATTTGAATAGGACATAATTAGGCATTGAGGACACTAATTGGTTAACTAAATAGGCCTCAAATGAGTGTAAATCTACCACTCATCAACACCCCTAACTTAAAATTTTGCTTGACCTCATGTAAATCAGGAATACAATTAGTTCATCAAGGGTGTCTACAATAGTTCTCAATGAGAGATAACACTCAAGTGCCACTACAAGACTACTCTCAATCAAATGCAACACTTAATTATGATAAAAAAGCTTCAAATGATGACTAACTGATATCAATCCAAGATCATGCTCACTATAGCTTCTTCTCTAATGCAAAACCATGTTTCAACAAATGCATTCAAGTTCCCTCACATCAAGAACGATTCCAAGCTGTCACAAAGCATGTCAATAATGAAGTTAGGAATCAATACAACTCTCACTCTCCAAAAGAGAAATACATGCAAGCTTCATCCTATAGGTTTGTCCATATCTTCCAATCATCACACAACCTAGTTCATGCAACATCTCAAGGGTCTTTTAGGATTTTAATGGGACTAAGGTTTATAGTATGGTCAATTTGGCTTAGTGACTTCACATTTTCAAAGGATTGTTGTAATCCTGTTCACTTCTTCTCAAGTTCTTTCCATTCTTTTTTACTTGGGAACTCAAATTTTGACATGCCAATCATTTTATTGGAGTCCCCTTTTTATTTCACCAATCTTTCGTTTTCATTTCAATTTTCTAATGTTTGTTCATCACAATCTCTCTCTTTTTTTTTTCATAAGGAGGGGTTCCTTCTTTTTTAAACATATTTTAGAGTTGAGTCTCACTTCATCTTTCTTTGCCTTCCACTTGGCTTTCTTTCCTCCTTTCTTTCCACACCCAACTTAGACTTTTGGCCTATATTGGCTATTCAAGCAAACCAAATCTTCGAAGAGAATTTATGGGTGAGAAGTTAGGAGCGATTTGGATAAAGAGGTTTCAACAAGGTTGTAAACAAATGGTTTAGGCTCAAATGGTGCAAATATGGTTGCACACCCTCAAAAGGTAGTCACGAAAATGGTATGAACATTTGAGTTCCCTCTCAAAACTTATGCACCTGATCATTACTTGCATTCACCAAAACTAGACAATAGTAGTAGCAAGGCAAATTCTAAGATTCAGTAAGAA